ATCAGTTAGGCAAATCAAAATCTCTTTACGTTATTCATTTCGGGTAATTGATCTTCTCCAATTTCAAAGCAGAGCAATTCAAATGTAAAAAAAAGAAAAGGAAAAAGTTGAACCCTTATGCAGCAATACTAACAGAAAGAGATTACTTGGGCTTGCTTGAGAGAGGCCATGGCTTGAGGGTTGAGAGAGGCCTGAGGAGGGGGAGTTGGCATAGAGGAAGAGATGTCAGGGGTGAGGGTACCCATGACGGCTCCGATGGCAGCGCCCTGAACGCCCTGCCCCCCGCCGGTGGCAGTGACAACGGCGGCCTCGACAGGCAAAGATTGCTTGGACAACCAAGACTTGAAGCCATCCTCCAATTCCTTGAACTTGAACTGGGCGAACTTAATTGGGTCTTGATTGGGAAACAGTTTCGCCACCATCACTCCTTGTTTACCCTGCTGCTGCTCCATTTCTTTTCTTTTCTGTTTCGCTTTCCCCTGTTTGCTGCCGCCCCGCCGTTGCTGCTGCTGCTGCTTCGAGCTACTATGTGGATAGAGATATTTAGGAGAGGAGAGATCCTTCCTTTTTCTTCCTTTTGTTTTTGTTCCCTTCATTTGAATTCTATTTTGAGGGGTTATTTTTTTATTTTATTTTATATTTGTTTTTTGGTATTACTTAGATATGATCGATTTCCTCTTTTGATAGTAACTTAATAAAATAAATTAAAGAATTAATTGCTTGTAATTTTTTTTTTTCATTTTAACATACAAATTCTTTCCATAAAGAAGTCACAAGTTATATTTTAATGAGTCGAACCTTAAACTATTTTTTTCATATCAAAACACCCCAAAATGTCAAATAGGCTGCTTAAATTGTTTGAAAATCCCAAATCACTCTTCAAAGTAAGTTTGTTTGGATAGACACGATTGGAAGTAGAACTGAGGTATTTTCTTTGCTTAGCATTATGGAAAGTTCCCTTTATAAAAGTTTCTAAAAAAATTTAATTTAAGTTTTGTTATTTTTTATATTTTTAAATCATTTTAATGTATTGATAATAAAAATAATTTTTTAAAATAAAATAAAATAAAATTTTATTAAATTTTCAAGTAAAAAATATTTTCAAAATCAATCATTATTACACTCTCAAAAGTGAAAAATCTCTAGTTTGATTTAATTTATAATTTTTTTAAGTTTTATTTGTTTGATGAAAAGTAGCTTTTTTTGAAAAATAAATTTTAGGAAAGTGAATTATTTTCTGATGTTTGGTAATGTAATGAAAAATAAGTTGAAAAATATTTTTCAGTATTTGATTATATCATGAAAAATAAGTTAGAAAATAATTTATTAATAATTTATTTTTCTTATGTTTATTAAAATAATAAAAAACAAACCTTACGAATTAAAATGATGAATGAGAATGAAATTGAAAAAATATAATTTCATAAATTATCTCAAATAAAATAAATAATAATAATAATAATAATAATAGAAATCAAATCTAAAAAAATAAAAGATGAATAAATTAAAATAATAGTATTAACATTTCATAAATTAGTTTAAATAAAATAAGTAACAATCAAAAGAATAAGGATTAAATTTGATAAATAAAAAATAAAAATTTCAATTTCAATAAAAAAATAATAAGGGAAAAGCAAATAATAATTATAAAAATAAAGATTAAAGTTAATATAAAAATTAAATTTTGAGAGATAAAATTGAATAATAAATATTCAAAATAAAATATATATAGTAATCAAAAGTTTGAGGACCAAATTTGATATAATTAGCAAATAATATAATATTTTTTTATTTTTTTATAATTTCTAAAAAGTGTTTTTTATCTAAATTTTTCAGGAAAACACCTTACTAGAAATCAAGTCAAGTTTTTTTTTACTGGAAAATGTTTTTTGTTGATTAGCTTTTCTAATAATAAATAAATACAAAAAAATTTAGAAAGTATTTTTTTACACTTTCTAGAAAATAAATATGGCATTAATGTGATAGTGTTTTTTTTTTATTTATCATTTCTTAACTAAATAGTTTGATTGTTGGATAAAATCCTCCAATTAATTGCATAATTTCAATTGAATTGATGAATAAATACTATAACAATCTCCTCTACTCTTGCCGGTTAAAATATCTTTGAATTAACTTGTCTCTAATTGAACATCTCAAAATTTAAATTTTAAGATATTCACTGGGGCTAATTAGCTAATTAAGGATGTAAGTCTTAATTCTATGCGAAAATGGATATAATCCGTTTAGATAATATTTAATTATTATTTTAAAATAGGAAAACTATAAATATTTGAGAAGGAGAGTAGAAAATGGGTGGAGTTACGTTTAACAGTGATTTACAATATAAAATGACGGTTTTTATATTTTATTGGATTGCTAGTAAATAAAATATAATAAATTACTCACCTTAATCTTTATTACCATTAACTTAATATATTTGAAATAATAAGTTAGATATTTTTTATTTAATTAATATTGTGTATTTAGATTTTATTTTAACTAATTTAAAATATTAACTCCTTTACTTTTTTTTATATATATAATTTAAAAAATAGACACAAACTTGGAGTGATATCAAATATTCATCTCCTCCACATGGAAGGCCTAATGAATTAGAGAATGACTAATACTAATATTTGAAAGTGTGATAGTGATTGTTTTTTAAAGTATTTTTATATTAAAATAATATTTTTTTTATTTTTTTACTTTAAATGAATATATTTTTTTATGTTTTTATATTATTTTCAAAACATGTTTCCTAGAATACCCTAAAAAAGAAACCTTTCCTCTCCCCAGCCATTTCATTTCTGGTTAAGAAGATGTGAATGCGTTTCTTTCTCTATAAGAACAATGCATTTCGAGGCGTGAAGTGGGAGAGATAGGATT